GAATTGTACAGAGTGCTTGAAAAAAACCCCACAAATGCCACTACAGTAATCTAAGGCAAACACAGTCAGCTTAACATGAAAAAGAGGAATTGGATTGTACCGAGTGAAAAACCAGACAAGAATATATGTAATCGCCTCATTTAATTATTCAATGCAATGACCTCAAAGTGTGTTATTAACATGAATTAATTTTTCTATTGCAGCTCTCCTTTTGTAGATATCTATTAGGAATTCCAATTTGCAAATAAGAGGTGCAGATTATGAATCTGACCCAAAGCCTACTAAAGCCCGAAGTCTTTTCTCAGAGCTGGGAGGGCAAGCTATCTGATCTGCTCTGCAAGACAGAGAGAGGATCTACTGATCATGTTTGTACACCTTCAGACTAAGAAAAAATTTTGTCCTTCCAGCTATCGTGGGTTCAATTTTTATTCCTGCAACAGAAAAATACATCAGGTCCTACTTCTTTGACAAAGTAATAGCTAGCCAAACCAATGTGGCAAGGCCATAAGTTATCACTTTTACTATTAAAAATTACATTAAGAGCTAAGAACAGTCTTTGGCTATTTTTGAACATCGAGGTTCAGAATTAAAACAATCCTTTACATGAATTTTATTGTCTTTCCACCTAATCATGGCTGCACTCACTTAAGACAGCAGAAGAATATGAAAGCATCAATTCAGGCTGCTGAACTGAACGGCACATTTTCACTGTTATAGCTGATTTATTAAGCTAGCCAATGCATTCTCAGCATTAAGAGACAAAGCTTTATCCAAGAAATCGCTTTAGAAAAATCACTGGGAGAGCTATCAGCTGTAACACAATGGGTTAAAATTATCAATAATGGTTGCTGGATTAATTTCTACTGTTTAACATCCCCAGGAAAAAAAACGGAGAACAGAAGCATCTGGGGAGAAAATGGAAGTAGATGTGAGTTTAAAGTGAATTTTGTATTTTGTAATGGAGGTTAAAAGGAAGCCTTAAAAAGAACGGAGTGAAGGTGGCTGACGTCTTCCACTGCAGATCAAGCTGTCCAGTCAGCTCATGATTTCTACTGTTGCCATTAAGTTAAACATTATCATCATTGTATTTCTGTTTTCCTGTAGAATCAATAAAGATGCGAAGAGTCTACCGCCCTTGCAAGCATTCCTGAAGCCCTGTATTTTCTGAAGAGTTTTGAAACTGCCAGAAAGAAAGAAGTGCTGAAAAGTTCAAAATCGTTTCTTTAAGAGCAGCATGCTAAATTCAGAGTGTATAAAGGAAGAATTCCACGTCAAACTGCTCCCAGTGATCAGCTAATTGGCTTCTTTTTGCCCTTTATATGAAAAATCAGAAGGAGTCACTAACAGAAAAAGGAGCATTGGTGGTCACATCCAGTTGATTCGCTAATTCAGCGGCATCTGCAGAGCCCGCTATGACTTTGTAACCTGTTACAAAATCTTGACATTATCGATCAACATCAAGGCTGCCACCAGCTTCCATTGACTCACTATTCATGAGCTTATTACCCAATTGATTTTTATCAACATACCACACCACAGAAGAACGCATGGCTGAAATAGCAACGAGTCAATTTTTCAGCTAGATATTTTCCTTCTGGTTAGCGATCCTTTGTAGTCTTATGCATAATACCAAAGCTTCGTGTATATCAAAAAAATCCAAGTAAAAAGGACTTAGGCTGTCAGTCATGTACTTTCAGCCAGTACATGAAATAGTTTTCCGCGTTTTCAATATGCAGTAGGAAATTTTTTCATCGACTGGTGGACACAGATTATACAAGTCTTTGCTTAGCTAACACCTTGGAGCACAAGTTGTTCTGCTCCAGTACAAATATGGGCAGAGTCAGTGTCTTCAAAGGTTAAAGTATGCTGACTGTAAAAAAACAATATTGACCCATCTTCATTCTCTCAACCATTCCTCTACTAATGGTGCTGTTTACAAGCAAAATTACTTTTTCTACTCCTAGCTTAACCTGGACTCTGGCTGTCAAATTAGGTTTTTACTGTTTGTAAATCGGTGGTAACCTATGTCTACAGAACTGGCTCAAATTCCAGTTACACATCTACTGCTCTCACATCGCCTTTCCCAGAGAAGTATTTGAATCATTTTTAAAAAAATAAAATCACAACTGTCCTTCACCTCTCAGACTGCAGTTTTACAGCCTTCGTGCCCAAGGAAGCGGCTGCCAGTGCTATTGCACTGACCAGAAGGGTGCTGATGGAGCATTTGGTGGATTCCAAGTTGAAAAGAAATGTTGTGTTTTTCCAAGATCCAGCTAAGAAATGTGGTAAGAGTGGTACTATTCTGTCAGCAATACTAGGATTTCTTTGCCTAGCTTTACCCTACCTCTCTTTTTTCCCTGCTCACACCCATGCACGATTTTGATGAAAGAAACAGTTCACCCTAGCAGTGCCTATACCTTAGCAGCAATGAGCACGATCATTACGTGATCTCTCCTCTCACAGTGAATTTCACCTTACACCAGGTAATAAACACAATTAATAAAGTCACTTTACAGAAATGGCTCCCCCCTTCTCACCCCTACCCATCCTCGTTCTTTACAAAGAGGGTTTTTTTTAAAAAGACTTATCTCAGTACCAGAGCCTCAGTGCTTTTTCCGTCAGAGTGTCTGTGCTCATACCACGTGGTGCCTGGCTAATGCTGTGCAGTCAATTATGCAGTCTCTGGGCAGAGAAGCAATCACGGCACGTATGAACGTAATGTTAAAGTAATCACCTGATTTCTCTTTCTTAGCCCGATCCTTACCACTGCTGCTAGAGGGAAATGGTCTCTAAAAAACGAGCTCATGCCTTTTTTTTCATTCTCTGTCTCCTTCCCTGTTTTAGTAAAATACTTGTTTTGTGCTAGGCACAATTACAGTCAGGCATATAGAAAGGAGGGGGGGTTGTTAATAATATTCCACTTTATCAACTAGTAGAACTCTCTCTTTTTCTACACTGATACTTAACATAGCAGTAGAAAGACAAGCACAATTATACACACTCACACACACTGCCAAGACTGGGTTTGGCTATTTTTCTCTTCTTAAAGAGGGCAAGGAAAACTGTTTACCATACTTGGACTAAAATCATCTCAAGCTGTAACTGGTCATACCTTTTTAACTTGCATCACCGTGGGATGTACGTATAATCAATATGATACGCAACATTTTCATGATTACATTACATTCTTCATTTAGGAGTCTGAAAAATGATTCCTCCTGCCGTTTTCATAACACCACTACCACAGCATTACACAATTTTGCTTGGGAGGGACAGAAAATATTAAAAAATGACAAAACGCAAAAGCTGAGTTATATACCTGTAATTCCTCTGCTCCCACTGCTAGCATTTACCACCCTACCCTCTGTAATTTCTGCTGAACGCCTCGGCTCTCGCTCTCACGGTCAGAAACCTGAACCTTCAAGCTGCAAAGAAAAGGTTATCACTTCAATTCATTCGTGGGCAAATTGCGCAAACCCGGCTGTCAATCAATGGTCCACTCCAGCATCCGAGCCGATTTACTCGACAGATTCTCACAAGCAAGCTGGAGCAGAGAAAATGTGTTTAATGAGAGCATCATGCTGATGACACATTTTCCGCGGATAACATTTGCATTATGTGTTTACTGTTTGCAGAGCATCTGGAAAACATCAAATGAAAAGGAAGACATATTTTTTTTTCTGTGCACATTCCAACAAAACAGAAAACATGAGTCGATAGGAAAGCACTTCAGATGGGGAAGCCTGGATGTAACTTTGCCTTTTCTTCCTGCTCCCTTTTACCTTCTCCATTTCTTTCCATCCTACTCCATTACCCTTCTGTCCTCTGCTTTTTTTATCCCTGTTCTCCTCTTACTTTGGAAAAAATATATCTAAAGGAAAAGAAAAGCAGATGCACTCATCTCTTACTCCCATAGTTTCGGTGATCTATGAATTTTGAATATGAATAGAGATTGAAACTAATCAACAGATGGTTGGAAACATGAATATTCATGAATTCTGAATCCCTGTATTACTCTGCCAGGTATTGTTTCGATGTAAAGAATATACGTGCTGTCTAATCACCACTTTTGTAAAAGAAAGCTAGCAGTCTCTTTAACTGTCCCATGTCCTATGAAGTGCACATTTTGGACACTAAACTGTGGTACATGTGTGTATCCTTTGAAAAGGGAAAAAGAACTAACGCCTGACAAATGTCTTTATGAATCTCTGATGCCCTCTGCTTGAAAATCAAAGCAGCCCAAAATTTCACTCCGATGATAGGCAGGAATAAAATATCTTAAGTATTACTATAAACTAAAGATTAATTTTGATTTGCAACTCTACAACCTAAAGGAAATCTTAGGCATTCACAACAATGAACCACTAAAGAAATGTGAAATTAAGTATAAGTATTTATTTACACTTAGGCAGACATTAACATCCAGCAGCAACCTATTTTATATGAGTAATAAGCTGCTGCCACCTTCTGAAAAAAGCTCAGCATGACTACGAATGCCATCTTTCTCACACGGCCAAAGCAGCACGAGATACGCGTTCTGAGCCAAGAAAATTAGGCAACAAAACAAGTTCTGCTCCAGTATCAATACCAAAAAACCTGCTGTGCTTACACATCCTTGCTCAAGAAGCTAATCCGAAGGTGGCCTCAACACTCCCAAGCACAAATGTAAGCATGCCGTCCTTATCCCAACTCAGGAAAACTCTTTGACATCTACTAACCACTCAAACAGGCAAAAGTGCCACCGAAGCAAACCAACGGCACAGTTACTTCTCTGTAGCCATACCCTCCTTTACCTCTTAAATGCCCACCTGCTTGAAGAAGAATCTGCTCTCCTTGCGGACACCTTCCAACCACGGCTTCCTCGTTACAAAGCGACAGAAAGTCAACATTTCTCTCAGTGGTTTCTGCAAGAGCAACCTGCCACTCCAGAGGTGCTGTCACCATCGCTGACAACCAGGGGCCACCTTTCTGCTAGAACTGGATACGCCAAGGGTGGTGGCATGAGCGACCCTCCATGCCCTGTAAACGGGCCCCCGCTAATCGACGTCGGCTGTGCGCTGATCCACACCTGGGAGCTTCTGCTCAAGCAGAGGAGCCCCAAATCTTTGGTGTCTATGAGGAACCGATGACCTGGTGCATTTGCTCTCTCTGCCAACTTCAGCCATCACAGTGGTGGTGCGAGCTTTATTTATGGTTTACATTTTGGTGGCACAAGTAGCATCAGCGGGTACAATGGCAGAGCAGTAGCAAACCAGTGTCACTGCTGGCAAATCAGTGCTTCACAGTCAGTACCTTTGTTATGAATAAATTGATCACCTCTCCAAAAATTTCCTAAAAAATAAAATCATGGCATTTCAGCCTGATTTTCAAAGCAAATGAAGATTATACCATCTTACGATGTAGCTGCTCCATCTTCCTATAACCTTTGAATGCATCGACCAGCTTCAAGTAAATTTGATAGGAAACTGAATGTCTCAAAAATATAATTTCTAGAAATTTAGAGAACCATAGAGCACATACCAGAGAAAAGCGATCTTCAAAAGCTGCACTGCTGACGGGCCAACCTGCTTCAAAGAATCACTGAACTACAGTCCCGTGATTTGGGGGAGGAGGAGGAAAAGTCATAATGCGAACCATAAGCTGCACGTGCGCTTCCTGAGCAACACCTAAGGACCCACGACGGCAGAATATTAAAACAAATTTGTATTAGAAGCAGTTCTGAGTTATGCTGGGAACGTGGCCTAAACCAACCCGAAGATACGAAGGATGCTCAAAACGCCCTGCCATAACGGTCATTTTTTGATGCAGCTATTAAGACTCCTCCAGCAACTCAAGAAATGCGCGAGTCTATGCTTAAAGACGCTGGCAAGAATGAAAGAAGCCAGCATGGGAACACAGAGTCACCGCGTGACCTCTCCTTACTGAAGAACAAACACGCAGAGCGCCCCTTCGCGTGCGGCGCAAAGCCCGCCACCGTCGCTATGCGCCGGCAGGTTTGCTCCTTGCTGCTAGCAGACAGCTCTCCGCGTGCCGTGCCGGTGCTTCGAGGCTCCATTCACCTGACCAAAAAAAAGAAATCAGGCAGCTGTTTTGAGGGCTGCCGATTCTCAGGGAGGCCTTATTGTTGTCGATTTGTGTCACAGAATCAGCGAGGCCTTCAGTCCATGACAAAACAGAAGTTATGACAGATGCAAAGCTGATGATTTTTAATTGGAAGCATTTCTCTCAAACTCATTTAGCCCTTACTTCAACAACTTGCACGAGCAGCTCTTTTCCACCACCTCGGGTGGTGAAGATCCCATCTGGGATGTTTTGCTGGAACTGCAGATGTCACGACTTGGCTCGTTACGTTTTTGGCTGTTGGGCTTTTTTTCCCTAACGCCCGCGCAGCAACGCTCCACCGGGGACGGGGCCCTCCGCAGCCTCTTGCCTTCTGCTCGGCTTCCTCGCCCCCGCGCCGCCACCAGCGCTTTCAGGGCGCACCCACCCCCGTTACTCGCAGCTGTCACCTCGCCGCCCGGGGGCTCGCGCAGGCGGCGCACGGCGCGCGCAGAGGTTCCCGTGACGCCTTTGCTCGGGAGCAGCGCGCGCGCCCG